GGCATGCATACATCTCTTCCACTCGTAGTCCTTCAGTATATATATTTGGTGAGGACGATAGCACAGAACTGGTGGGAACTTGCTGACCTGCATGTAGACGTGATAGAATAAGTGATGAGGACATGGATTCATCATCTGTGCGTATGCTACCTTGCGTAAGCATGCATCCTACGAATCTCATACTTACGGTGCCTTAGCTCGATAAATGCATGGCCGGACTGGCGATCGGGAGCACCGGGAGTTTTCCCGGTGGCCTGGCCTGCTAAGTGGCCTGCCCCCCCCAATTTTTTAAAAATAAATCTGCGGCCTGCAGGCCATATATATATTTTTTTATTTTTTTTATTCTGCGGCCTGCAGGCCATTTGTATACGACCTGCAGGCCATATTCTTATAGGTAGGGCGGAGTGGCCTGACTGGGGCTATATTTCGCGCTATATTTGCCGGCCTGAATGATTTTCCCAGTCCGGCCCTGCATAAACGGCACCTAGGCCCAGTTTACACCAGTCTGCTGTGCTGAGCAGCTTTGATGAATCTAGCCCCAAGCTACTCAACAAAATCTAAAAGTTTCGCCCTATCTCCCAGCAATGCAATATAAGGCATCGACTGTAGCATGTCTATAAGGTTCATGCGCAAAGTAAAACAATGATATCTAAATGTACATGGATAGATTATCTAGAGATGTTAACATGATGGCAAGTGTGTAATGCAATCTGGTGAATTTGAAACAGGTCAGCAGGTTGACACCATTCTGGGCTCGCGTCCGTACGGTGTCCCTCTCAACGAAACACTCATGCCGCAGTATCTAAAGAAATGTGGCTATGCTACTCACATTGTGGGCAAGGTACATTATCGCATGTTGTCAGCATATACACTTGTCCTACCTTTACACACACACTTCCCCATGCACGCACGCATGCAAATATTCACGCATGCACACATGCATGCAACTACTCATACGTGCACACGCGCACACGCATACACACACGCACATCGATTAAAGTTATAGTTTGGAGACATATATACTTCTGACTCCAACATTTGAATGATTTTAAAATGCAACTAATTTAATTTAGCTATACCAATTTAATTGTGCATGGTGTAGAGATAATACTAGGTAAGTAAACATGTTCCAAATACGTTTGGATCACATTCTTCCATTTACTTTTCTTTTTGATTAACTTTTCTTGCCACCAAATATGTGCACATGTTTGTAATTCTATAAGAATCTTGACAATTTGGTTGCAGTGCTAGAGATGTATGACATTTATATATATGAATGATAACGAATGATATAACACTGTGGGAGCAGCTGCTAACCTTACTGTTGTTTCTTGTTTCATTAGTGGCACATGGGATTTTTTGCGAAGGAATACACACCCCTGTACCGGGGCTTCGACACCCACTATGGCTATTACTGTGGTCACACAGACTATTATGATCACCGAACAATAGAGGGGGTAGGTAGTCGCTCTCGTCCGCCATTAATGCCGTTTTCTCTGTCCGTTCGGCCGTGCACAGTGGCATCTGGGCTTCTTTGCGAGGGAGTACACACCGTTGTTCCGTGGTTTCGATTCGCATTACGGATACTGGCTCGGCCACCAGGACTATTACGACCACACCGCACAAGGAGGGGTCTGTATCGTTACGTCTCATGAGACGACAGCTGTAGCCTTGCTGTCTCAGTGAGGGCCTCACTAGCCTAGCTGTCTCAGTGAGTGCCTCACTAGCCTAGCTGTCTCAGTGAGTGCCTCACTAGCCTAGCTGTCTCAGTGAGGGCCTCACTTATGTCCCTGTCTCAGCATTCTGCATCAATATGGTGGCTGATCACATTACCATTACTTAGTTTTAATTTGAAATTAAAAACACTCTAAAACTTCTTCAGTTCCCAATTGCTTTATGCGCAAATGACGCCCAGCTAATATTTTCGGCGACGACCGTTAACGACGGCGATCAATCGTGGCGCGCGCATGTTTGTTACAGAACGGTTACTGGGGTTACGACATGCGGCGAAACATGTCGGTGGATCGCAGCGCATCCAACAAGTACACGACGGACTTGTTTACTGAGGAGGCTGTCACTGTCATCAACAGCCATGACAAGAGCAAGGTGCGCTTACCATTCCAGTGCGCGAAATTAGCACTATTTTGCCGGCGGCCGCCGGTTCAACTCCCCATATAATCAGTCCACTTGGCCTATTGTATTCAAAATATTGCCTATTATATCTTGCCTTTATATGAACAATATTTACCAGTTCCTGACTAGTTTTTACGTAGTGACTACTAAGAAGTAAATCATGTTCCAGCAATTCCTGTCAAACAAGTAGAACTCCACTGATAGCAGTGAAATACTGAAATACTATGGTAGTATGCCTAATAAACACAGCTAATACTTTTATTGATATTAATGGAATAACTTGAACAAAATTAAGGGCTCTATTCAAGCTTGTAAGGGCCTGTTTAAAATTTTGGGTGGGCCTGTTCAAATTTTGGCTAATTTTATGCCCTGCCATTTTTCACTAAAGCCCACCCGGGAGGAGAACTAAATGACCTTTCAGTGAGCTTGATAACCACATCCCCCCCCACAATGTTGTCGCCAGTTTATATGTGCATGCGCAATAAATCGGTGAATTCGAGATGCTTCATTGCTGTGAAGAATATTTAGAATGTCTCTTTCACAACACTGATTGTCTAGAGGTAGCTGTCAATCACTCCGTGGCAGAGACGTCGGTTGAACTACAGAGTATAAGGGGTTGGAGTGGGCCAGGGTTGCAGCACTTCTTCAAATGTATTGATCCTCGTCTTCACTAGATCATTGCTTTCGTGGGAAAAGATGGAGACGTCGCGCTTATAATACTAGCTTCTGTTTTTCTTCCAGCCGCTGTTTCTGTATCTGGCACACTTGGCCACACACAGTGCAAACTCTTACAGCCCATTACAGGCCCCGCAGAAGTACCTACAGAAAGTGCAGCATATTAAGCACAAGCAGAGACGACTTTTTGGTGGTGAGTACCAGACTTCATAGCAGCAGATATTTCGTGCGATGCACAAAAGTGTGCATGCGTACATACATGTTTTTTACAGTAGACTGCAGCATTGCATGAAGATGTGGGTCCATATACTCAGATATCCTCATAGTTGAATCGACATGAAATAAAATTTAACTATTGATAGTGATACTGAAAGTGACAGGTACACGAAATATGTTTAGCAGTAAGTTATACTGACGTGCGTGTAGTGCACGTAGTGTGCGTGCATGCATGCGGGTGTGTTTGTGTGTGTATGTGCATGCTTGCGTTAGCATGTGTTTAATGTTTACAGGCATGGCGGTGGGCTTGGATGAGTCCGTGGGACAGGTCGTACAAGCGCTGAAGGCAAACAATATGCTCGATAGCTCCATCATTGTGTTCTCCACAGACAACGGAGGCCCGGCGTCCGGTGTGTTACGTTCTAGCTGTTCTCTTGTTTGCATTGCATGAGTCTCATGACAACTGGTTGCATTCTGATTGAGTGATGCGTTGCAGTCCAGAGAAAATATGATTTAGCATCAACAACATTGCAAAGGATTGTTTTTTGTGTGTGAAATATCCCATGGATTACATGGACTAGTGGAACTATATGCAGCTCAGTTATCTGTCTGTATAGAGTGTAGACCCCCCCCCCCCAGTGTAGGAATGTAATTTACTGTGCAGTTAATAGTTCTTTTTAGAGAAATTATACCTTCAGTTTGTATTTTCGTGACCTTTGTATGAACGCGACCATTAAGTCTTTACGGTTGCCTCTCTTGTGACAGGCTTCGACATGAACTATGCTAACAATGCGCCCCTGCGTGGGGTCAAGGACACGCTGTGGGAGGGAGGGGTGCGCGGCGTTGGCTTCATCTGGTCGCGACTCCTGCGCAAGACACGCCGCGTCTCCCAGCAGATGATGCACATCACGGACTGGCTGCCGACGCTCTACCATGCCGCGGGAGGTACGTCACCAGGGGGCGCCGGCTGCGGGCGCAGTTTGGTGGGAGCATTTCCGTTATTCCTCATTAAGTTGGATGAGTGGAATTTTGATTGAGTGATCAATGAGTGGAGTTGTGCAACTACAAATATTTAATTTCTTATGAATTTGTTTTGCTTATGAATGAATGCTTATGAATTTGTTAATTATGAAATGCGTAAACTTGCTGTGAACTACCTTTGCCTTGTCTGCTATACGCTGTGTTAATTTTGTAATACTAGTATTCATATATAAATGGTTTATCTAAATAGAAAGTCCGTCTGTATATTTGTCCGTTTATATAGAAGACAGACAGGCGATTTATTGTGAATTTCCTGCGACGTCTCTCGTTCATTGTTTTATCTCAAGGAGACACCGGGGAGCTTGTCGCTCCTGACGGCATCAGCATGTGGCCGGCGCTATCTGGTGGCGGCGCCTCGCCGCGCAACGAGATCCTGCACAACATTGACGACGTCCGGCACATAGCGGCGTTGCGTCGCGGCGACTGGAAGATCCGCATCGGGCACACGTACGCGGGACACTGGGACGGCTGGTACGAGCTGCCCGAGGTATACATGCTCACACTCGCACTCTGATGATCGCGTCACGAAGATACGTGGGAAGCAGTGAAAAAAATACACGGGGGCTCGGGGCGATTTAGCCCCCGAAATGCCAAAAAGAGCCCCCGGAAATTTGCATAGAGTTCAATGCAAACCAAATTTTAGAGTGCTATTTTCATGCACGCGAGCTTGAAAAGTAGCCCCCGAAAAATTGGTGGTTGCGTTCCCTCTCTCCATTTCTTTCCTCTGGTTCCCTTTCTTTCTCTCACTCTTTAGCTCTCTCTAGCTCACTCGCTTCCCCCCTCACACACGCATGCACGCACGCACGCATGCACGCACGCACGCGCGGCGCTGGTACCCGGTAGGAAGCTGTGTGAGTATAGCTGCTGCTGTTTGTTGTGGAATTTTGCACAGGGGAGAGATAGTGCTCCGCTAGGGGACGGCTCTGATTGGCTAATTTTGTCTCTTATTTATTTTATTTTTTATTATTTTTGGCTAATTTTGTTTTATTTTAGAATTAGGGATAGGGTTAGGATTAGGGTTAACTTATTTCTATAGCGGATAATATAATATCCACAACTTATTTCTATATTCACTATATCTCTCCCCTGAGACCTACTATTTGTTGGGCAGGCGACCGTGAGAGCGCCGGACAGTGCGTTCGTCACACCCCTCACACGTATCCTCGGCGACCCGCCACGTCCTCACGACTGGGAGTCGGTCGTCATCAGCTGCGGCAAGAAGCCTGACAACGCGAGCGTCAACTGTCGGCCGACGGTGGCGCCCTGCCTCTTCAACATCCGCGACGATCCGTGCGAGTACAACAACATGGCCGCCGCGCGACCCGACGTCGTCAGCGCCCTCTTGGGGCGGCTGGCCATGTACAACGCTACTCAGGTGCCATCTCTTTCTGTACAGCGAGGAAGTTTGGAATGTTCTTTGCCTTTCGTTCCTCATGCCAATTATTTTATAGAATATTTATCGGTGAGATAAATGTTATTTAATAAGATAATATACAAGATTTATCATATATTAGATTTAATGAATAGTAGAGATCGAATTATGTTATAACGTTAAAAAATCATCTGTTTGTAATTTCCTTTGAATCTACCTTGTATATACTGTATTGCTTTTGCTATGTAGTTGCTGTAGTTTATTGTTGAATAATGTAACTGATATAATCAAATGTTCGTTAGTAAACATCCATCTGTTCTACCAGGTAAAGCCAGCGAACAAGCCGATTGACCCAAAGTCAAACCCAAAGTTTTACGACTACGTGTGGACGTGGTGGAAGACGTTGGATGCTAGCGGGCGTGAGCATTATGTTCTCAATGACCTCTAGGTCAACGTATTAGCCAGCGAGCCGTGCAGCCGTGATTTGCACGGTCAGTTTTGAAACTGCACGGAGAAAAATGTGTAGCACGGCCTAAAATATTGATCTAAAGCCGTGTACATTTGTAAAATTGCACTCCCAAATATTTTTTCTGCACTCCCAGAATACTAATTCCTGGCTAATACCCTGTTCAAGGTCATGGGGTCATAGAGTCAGAGCATACGTTTCAGAATCTAGAGTCGATAAATCTTGCGTTGTGAGCATTCTCGGAATTAATATTTCAAATTAGAATGAGAGGTTTGATCTGTTCTCGATTTTTGCAGTCAGTGTGAGTCATTGTTGTGTAACGTTGAGTTAGTTGATGAGCGCGCTATTCTCTACCAGTTTACCACTTTGTTATTTTGTGGGCTATACAAGATTTGCAGCGTGCCACGTTAGCGTGGAATAGTATGGCTGGCGTGGCAGCGAGAATTCGTACAGCTGCTTAGACTGCTTGTTGTTTGATGCTGCGGACTATTTATGCATGTCATTACACACACTGTTCTTGTGCTTGTTGGAATTAGCGTAATGCTATGCACATGGTGAACATTACTGTAGCATTAATTAGCTGGTCTCCTCCATTACATGACATTAGGGTTTTCCTGTGATATAATAAGTGATCTGTTATTTTAATCTCATATATATTGGTGGTGAGTTGAGCAATGATAGCCACGAGTGCCTTGTAGATATATCCCCAAATATGTATATTTTGACGTAAAATAATCGTGTAAACACTATACATCACATGTATTGTCACTTTGTGATCAGACGATACATATAAACTGCATTCTGTTACAAGACTGAATCGAGTGAATGACAAAGTCGTATGCAATATATTTTATTTAAAATGAACTAATATAAATGTAGGTAATTAATGAGGTTTATATTACAATTTCTTCAGATCACTGATTGCAGAGTATATTCATGAACTAACGGTAAATGGTAATGGTTGATGAATTATTCAAACATTGTAAGGTACTGTGGAAACATTACACCAATGTGCAATTGCAAATGTATTTCAATTAGAAATTACAACTGCCAGTTGTTCAATTCTGACTTTGATTGTCAGCAGTCGTATGGTGTTGACAAGAAATAAAAATATAAAAATCATATAAACTGTTTGATTGTGTGTGACTCACTTATAGATTGCGAATCTTGATGAGAAACACTACATTGAAACTAATAACTATACCAAATTCAGAGAAATGAACTTTTTTTTAATAAAGTCCATACATACATCAACTCGGCAAGCCTGGCCAAACACAAGCAAACCCTACTAGACGAGAAACTCCATCATATAGTATCACAAAATGTCGCAACAGTAACATTTAACTGCATAAAACCAAAACTAGAGAGGAGGGATCCCACCAACAGTGTCAGCCATTCTACCACTCCCTCAAATAACCAACAAGCTACACCCTACATGCAGGATTAGACCACAAACCACACCCACGAGGTATTCACAGGGGTAGCCCATGCTCACTCCCTGCAAGGTGCAGCCGTTGCACGCACCGATAACAAGGTAAACGAGTCCTAAAACCGTGACACTCTTGATCTGCATGCGACCCGTGTATTGCTCGTGTACCCGACTGTCAAACGAAGCGCAGAGAATGTGTCTGCAGGTCTCCCTCCGCACACCTATCTGACCGTGAGCTGTAGACCGGTTCAACGCTTCTGCTGTTGCCGAGACAGTTTGCAACACACTCCACACATGTTCATAACTAGCATACACACAGGTGCCATGAAATATAGAGAACGATTGATCAAGTAAATTATTCAGACAATTAATCGCACACGCATAAAAAAGAATTGTAACTTTCAGTTCCGCCGACGACATCGGAAACGGGACAAACCGAAACAGATTTAATAGTGACAGTGTAACGTGTATATTACTGACGACCGTGTAAAATGAGAGGCTGGGCCGCCGCACACACCATCGATACGCTACGACTAGCTGTGCACGGCATGCCCTCGCGACAATTTTAAAACTTATGCCTCGATACGAAGTAATGACCCCCCCCGATTTTCGGCTATATCAACGTGATTAATGAACTGCTACGCTACGCGGAGGACGCTACCAGCTTCGCCTCGCTGCCACGCATCACCCGTACTTGGCTGCGCCTGCTGGCGCAACGATTCACGTGAGCGCGGCAAGCGCAGCAACAGCTGACCTATCCGCCCCGAGCAAGGAGACAACCATGCTGCCCTAGAACATTGTTGCCACATCGGTGATGCAAAATGTTTTCCACGCGCGCGCACCAGGATTGACATTCTGTTACCAAGCAGCGTCCCAACATCCCATCACAACCATGATTGCCTAGCGCTGCCTGTCATTGAGGCCGGGTAGATAGGTCGATTAATTCCATCTCTTTTACAACAACTTCCTTGCGTCTGGCGCTATAATACATGCACCCTGCTCCGCCACGCCCGCGCCACCACACATGCATCGTCACGCCTGCGCCGGCACAACCATGTTGTCACGCCCGCATACCCACGCGCGCGCCCGAATACCCACGCGCTTGTCCGCATCCCCACGCGCGCGCCCGAATACCCACGCGCTTGTCCGCATCCCCACGCGCGCGCCCGAATACCCACGCGCGCGCCCGCATACCCACGCGCGTGTCCGCATACCCACGCGCTTGTCCGCATCCTCACGCGCGCGCCCGCATACCCACGCGCGCGCCACCACACATGCATCGTCACGCCTGCGCCGCCACACCAATATTGTCACGCCCGCATCGCCGCGCCCGCATACCCACGCCACCACACATGCATCCCCACGCGTACCCACGCACGCGCCCGCATCGCCACGTGCGCGCCCGTATCGCCGCGCCCGCATACCCAAGCGCGCGCCGTCACCCTACTCGAGGTCTGGAAGTTCTGCGTCGTCGCTGTCCTCCTCCTCGCCAAAGTCTTCCATTCCTGGCTTCTCGCCCGACGACAGGCCGCCCATCTCCCGCATCATGTCGTCAAGGTTCTGCCCGCGTTCCTGCTCATCCGAGTCGGAGTCGTCGGAGTCCTTCCACCGACTGAAGTCAACCTTCAGCCAGTGCATCTTCGTCTGAGTCTTCAGTAGTCGCTGCCAGTAGGTCGTCTTGTCCTTCTTCGACAGGTAGATCTCGGTCTGGCGCGGGTAGATGTGGTGCCGCGATTTTCCAGTGTCCACCTCACCGAACAGTTCCATAGTGATTGCGTAGTGCTTCTTGTCGTTGCCGATACCGTCAAAGTGAAGTTTGTCGGCCTCGACCCTGACGTTGGCGTTCTTGCAGTCGGAAACCTGGACTGTAACGATGACGTGGTCCTTGCGCTGGGCCCAGACGACGGGGGGTGGGATCGTGCTGTCCATCTGTCTTACTGTTGCTGCTGCTGAGCTGCGTGGACAATCGGTCGGAGGGTCGGGGGATCTGCAATTCGTGAGAGGCGAGAGTGGTGATTTTGCAAGCGAGTTTTGGACGACCGTTTAGAATCTACCACTTTTAAAAAGTCATGAATTTAAACATGGCAGTTATTTACGGTGCGATTATATGATATCTAGAGTTTTTCTATGATATCTAGGGAAAATTTCCATATTAGAGTCACCCAAATCACAGCATTTCCAAGGAATGTTCCCAACCAATACGAGGGTTTACTCTATAGGGATTAACTTTATATCAAAACTAGGATTTTCTAGCAGACGAAATTGCAAACGGCCCTATCTCCTGTAACTTGTAATAGTGATATAAAATTATGCTACAGTCCCTCCGACTTCATGCGTATTGCATGAAAATTATTCTTTACGTAGGTTTGTGGGCTCCACATTACTATGATTGCTTAGCTCTAGTCTAAGCTTTCACTCAAGATTATTTTATTCCACACTTCCACGTTCTACTTCTGCCGTACTGCTAACACAAAATGAAATGAAAGGGCTTTCATTGTAGAGTAAAATAGTTGGGTCAAAAATGTTTTAACTTATGCATTTTTTATGCAATAACTTGCCATCTGAGAAAACCAGGGGCTTAAAAAAGGAGGCTGATTTTTTTAAACTGATGAATTATGTGATAAAACTTTGTTACATTCATATGTATTGTTACTATGCTCAAGTTATTCCCTACTATTTGGTATATGAATTTATAACAATTAATCAGTGCTCTTTCTCAATTAAATTTTCGTTTTCGATTCTTGGAATCTCAAGTGTCGACTTTCGCTTTCGATTCTAGCCGGAATCTCAAAATTTGACGGGGGCCAGAAAAAAGATAGAGAACATGGGTACCAATAAAACCAATGTACCTAATTCTAACCCTAACCCTAATCCTAACCCTAACCATAACCCTAACCTATTATATTGATATAATATTATATTTATATTGATGTAAATGACATTGGTATTATTGGGACCCATGTTCTCTATCCTTAAACCGAAAAAAGCCCCGTGAAAAAAAAAGACGGTGCTGTTTACGGAGCTTGAGCCGAGCGGCCCATGAACAGGCAAAGCCTGGTTTCTTGTGGCCAACAGCGTAGACCACGTCCCCTAAAATCTCATCCAGTGCCAGTGGCATGATGCCGAAAAACTGCAATTTGTGAACGTGTAGTGATTGGGTAAAAATGCAAAGTTAATCAATTTTTACACCACTAGTTACCTCTAACATTTAAGCCCTACCACTTATGCAGGAATTTAAATTTGTTGGAGGTCACCAAATGGCGTTGTATAACGTAGGTAGGTTGTGTGACAGCGAAGGACCTAACACAATACCACAAAATCGATTCTCATCGCTTGCTCAACCCGACAAACGGATATTCGCCGGCGTGTTGCCTCGAATTACTAATAAACTATAGCAAGTGACTTCTTTCACTTGAATCCAAATACATCTTAGTACTTACGTTATGTTTACAGCGACACTTGACTAAGAAAGACAGGTAAGAATATTCTCGAAGGGAACCTCAGAATGGAACAAAACGAGAACGACCCTAACAATCCAAACCGCACGCTTCCTGTCGACAATCAGTGCCACCTTGTGGTGGAATTATAACAACTTTTATTGACACATTCTTATTCCCTTTTTATTATCGAGTTTTTTCCTAGCCCGATAAAACGAAGACAGCAACGTTATTTAGTAATAAAATATTATGATTAAAATTACCGTAATATTATTTTATACCCTACTTTTTTTAATACTGCTGAATCGACGATGACAAAGAAACTAACAAGAACACATACGACGACAACGACGAACACAAAGACGAAGACAAAGAAACTAATAACAATGGTATTTGAATAATGTCAGGAGGAGTTTGTCATTATTAGCTCCTGATAATGTGGTAATTGAAATTTATGATATTGCCGTATTTGAACTGTGCTATTGGATTATTGCTATTTATTATGCTATTGTTGATATTTCTATAGAAAGGTGGGTGAGGGAGGGAGCGGAGAAGGAAGGGAGGGAGAGATTGAGAGAGAGAGGGAAGGAGGGCCGGAGGGCCGGAGGGAGGGATGGAGGAGGGAGTGAGGGAAGGGAAAGAAAGAAAGAAAGAATTAAAGAGAGGGGGAGGCGGGGAGTAGAGAGGGAGGGCGGGGGAGTAGAGAGATGCGGCGGAGTGGAAGCGGAGGTGCCGGAGTGAGACTGAAGAGGCAGGGGGGGAAGAGAGAGAGGGAGGGCGGAGTAGCAGAGAGAGGGCGGGGGGAGTAGAGAGGGGGCGGAGAGGAGTAGAGAAGAGAGGGCAGGGGAAGTATAAGGGAAGGCGGGGAGTAGAGAGGGGGGAGATAGAGAGGGAAGGCGGGGGAGATAGAGGAGGAGAGGCGGGGATAGATAGGGAGGGAGGGCGGGAGTAGAAAGGGAGGGCGGGGGAGTAGAGAGGGAGGGCGGGGAGTAGAGAGGGAGGGCGGGGGAGTAGAGAGGGAGGGCGGGGGAGTAGCAGAGAGAGGTCGGAGAGAGATAGAAGGAGAGGCGGGGGAGTAGAGTGGGAGGGCGGAGGAAGAATAGAAGAGAGGAGGGCGGGGAAGTACGCACAGACAGGGGGGGGGGGGGTGAAAACCGCGGGGCGGGACAGAGAGAGAGATAGAGGGAAGAGCGGGGGAGTATGAGGCGGGAGGGCGGGGGGAGTAAGAAAGGAAGGGCGGGGGAGTGAGAGGGAGGGCGAGGGAGTAGAGAGAGAGGGCGGGAGAGGTAGAGAGGAAGGCGGGGGGAGTAGAGAGGAGAGGACGGAGAGTAGGGAGGGAGATGAGAGAGATAGAGAGGGAGCCGGGAGTAGAGGAGAGAAGGGAGTAGGGGAAAGAGGAGAGGGGAGATAGAGAGGAGGGGTTGTTGAGTGGATAAAGGGTGGGGTAGAAGAAGAAAATGAGGGAGGGAGGGAGGAGGGAGGGAGGGAGGGAGGGAGGGAGGGAGGGAGGGAGGGGAGGGAGGCGAGAGGGAGGGAGGGAGGAGACGGGAGGGGGGGGAGGGAGGGAGGAGGGAGGGCAGGAGAGGATGGAGGAGAGGGAGGGAGGGGAGGAGGGAGAGGGAGGGAGGGAGGGAGGGGAGGGATGGCTGCTAGCTGCCCCGCCACGTACCGGCGGCATGCGCATGCGCGTCGTGTGACTTAACAGCGGACCAGCCGACAGCTATAGAGATGCGTGAGAGCCTTCTCTCTTCTCCTCGCCATCATTTGTCACCGGCAATCTGATTTCTTTGCGGCTAGTCGGCAGAAGAAAAGACCTCGCGGCGGCGGCTGCTGCAGCACTTTCTGTGTTTATGATACGTGTGCCGTGAGAAGGCCGTGGCGGCCGATGAGGGTAGCGGCGGGGCGGCGGCGGCGGCGGCGGCGGGCAAGGGTGATGAATGGCGCGATATGTTCGCCATCAGGCTCCGTTTTGTCTTTGACTCGGGACCTAATACCAGGACACAGGGTCATTTTGTCAAGGAGCAAATCACTTGCGGGAGCAGCTACATGACAGATGCCTTTGTCAAACTCCGGCCGATGAATGGGAGCGAGCGGAAGAAGAAAAACGACGCGCTAGCATGAAACAATTCGGGACATTAGGGTCTTTCCAAGTGGATTTATAAGTTTCGTGACAATATTGGATACGGTTCGGCTGTTAGTGAAACAGTCTGCACTGAAAGATTAGCTGCTTCTTAAGAGGCGTTAAACTAAACATGTATGCGCCGTGCGCTGCGCGTGTGGTGGCGTGCGTGCGTGGGTGTGAGTGCGTGTATCGCTGTGGTGCGCTGTGTGTGCGTGCATGCGTGTGTCGTGTTGTGCGTACTGATAAGACTGTGGGTCGGTTGCTTGCATGTGGCTATCAAGTGTGGGCAAGATAAAAAGCAAATTAGCTCTAAAGCATTTCAAATATCTTGCATAACCAGCTGACGACATGAAGCGAGACTATGGCACATTATACAGTTATATCTCTTGTCCAAGAGTACATAACAGTCTCCTATTTGTATCTATAGATATATATATATTATATATATATATAATATATATATATATAACCGCACGCTACATATAAAGTCACACGACCGGATTAAAATCGCTGCCTGGATAGAGCTGATGAGGAAATCATCATTGCGAAAGAGAGGAGAAAAGAAGAGAGAGAGAGAGGAGAGAGAAAGAAGAGAGCGAGAAAGAGAGAGAGAGAGAGGAGACAGAGAGAGAGAGAGAGGGCGGCAGAGAGGGAGGAGAAAAGGGAGACCGAGATAGAGAGAGCGGAAAGAGAGAGCGAGAGCGAGAGCGAGAGAGAGAAGAGAGAGAATAGAGAGAGAGAAAAAGAGAGGAGAGAGAGAGATAGGCGGAAGAGAGGGAGAAGGGACAAAGTGAGAGAGAAAGAGAGAGAGAGAGAGAGAGAGAGAGAGAAGAGAGAGAGAGAAGAGAGAGAGAGGAGAGATATAGAGAGAGAATGAAGAGGAGAGAGGGAACATAAGAGAGAGACAGTCCAAGAGAGAGAGAGAGATAGAGATAGATAGACGAGATAGAGAGAGAGAGAGAGAGAAGAGAGAGAGAGAGAGAGAGAGAGAGAGATAGAGAGAGAGAGAGAGAGAGAGAGAGATAGAATAGATAGATTATATAAATAGATAGATAGATAGGAGATAGATAGATAGATAGTAATAGATAGATAGATAGTATAGATAGATAGATAGATATGATAGATAGATAGATAGATGGATAGATAACGATAGATGGATAGATAGATAGATAGATAAATAGATATATAGATAATAGATTAAATGATATATAGATAAAAATACGATGATAGTAGATAGTTAGATAATAGATAGATAGATAGATACGATAGTATAGATAGATAGATAGACTAGATAGATATGATTAGATAGATAAGGGCCATCAAGAGTAAGCGGGTTGAACAGTGGCGGGACACGTGACACGTACGCGATATAGACGCAATTATTGTCAGCGGGGAAAAGGTGACAGATAGCGACGCATTAATCACCTCCACACCCCACCTCACCACCCTCACCCCCACCCCCCGCACCGCGTCAGCGCCGCAGCGACCCCGCTCGTAAGCTACTACGTCATCACCTACCTGCCAATCATCGCTGAGTACGTGTAAATAAACCGATCCTTGACATAATATCAGGAGCTAATAATGACAAATTTGTCATTATTAGCTTCTCATAATATGCGTACTAGCATTTTCCTTGTTTTCTATCTCTTAAAAAACACATTGAACTGGATGAGGATAAGGATGAGGATGAGGATGCAGATGAGTTCTCCTTATTAAAACGTAGATTCTTGTTGTTCCTAGTGCTGGGGTTCGTTTCGCGCGCATGCTCATGAGACGGTTAGCAGAAGCTTGCTAAACGAATCCTTTTCAACCAGAGCGAAAAACACGTCGTGCCGGTAATCACTAATTGCTCCGTGTCGCGCCGCGCGAAAAGAGAAAAGAATATCTCACGAAAGGTTATTTGACTTTGAAATGAATGCTCGTACTTTGCATGGATAACTGAGAAGACATATGCGCTAAGGAGGAGGAGGAGGACGAGGAGGAGGAGGAGGAGGCAAAAGAAAGGAGGAGTGAAGAGGTGTATGCGGCGAGCGTCTATCAAACGAAGTAGAACAATATATAGCACGAAGAGCGCATTAAATTCCAACGCAGAAATTGATGACATCAGAGAATCAGTACTGTGGCGATTCATTCAAACAGTTTAATATGGTCTACACGCAAAAATCATTAGACGACGAATCATTAACCTCTAATGATTTTCCACAATAAACTTCACGAAAGCCATCCCCCGGCCAGCTCTTCATGTATCCACGCGATAGCAGCATAGACGGAACAATCTGACGATGCTATCTATCACCGGCAGATGGCGTGCTATTCAGCAACGAGTGGGAATGCATAGACATACCATACAGATATAGGCCTATAGGCCTATGATCATGGGATATATAGGAAATGGAGGACTAACATCAAAATGTTGTTTTTGTTTTCCGTTTTAACTATCTTGTTTTGTTTCTATTCACTTCCGATAGCATACATAGGTGTATATAGAATATGGGTGCCCAGTAATGATGGCATGGGGTATCTGACGGTGACACGGGAAGTCTTGTATTATTTCATTGTTGTTGATTGTTACGTATTGTTTTATCACATGGTTGATGATTGTTACGTATTGTTGTATCACATTGTTATTGAGTGCAACGTTTTGTTTTAAGACATTGTTATTGATTGTTACATATTGTTTTATCACATTGTCGTATGCGTGTCGATACGGTGTTCTTTTCATTAAAATCATCTCGTCGACTCCGCGTATTTTTATCGGGTAACACGACGCAAATTCAGAAACGGATCGTAAGCTTTCGGATAAAAATGTTCTTTCGTCATCAGAGGAGTTCGTACAAGCTACGAAGGAGCGGTGAACATCGTTTAAGGTGGATAGTTGACCCGGGAAGATACTAGGTTGCTACGTAAACAAGAATTAGAAAGATGCAAGAGAGTCAAGAACAAAGACACGGAGTCTGAAAAGGTGTAGGGAGTGGTGAGAGGTGGTGGGGGGAGGGATATGG